GGGGGGGGGGGGGGGGGGTGATCGCATGCGAGAGTGAGTAGCATTTGGCAGCATTGCAAGCAAGGCCAACTCTTTTTCGACATGGCATAGTGTCATTGTTGCTATCATGCTACAGTCCAGTCCGCGTAAGTGGCTCACCGTATATATACATACGTAGCGTACGTGGGTCAGCCTGACACAGTCTGATACATACTCTTTCTCCCGACTCTCTTTCCCTGCCTCCAAAGCACCCACCCTCTCACGATGAGAGCATCAATCAGCCACGGAAGAGGAATCACTTACGCGGTCTGGACTGTACATTCCTCTTCCGTGGACCTGCTGGGCGCTAGTGGCCGTCGACAAGTACAGGGGTAGAGATAGGGGACGATCTTAGCTTCCGGCCAGGAACGGTCGTTATTTGCACATTGTGCAATTCCATCATCGCACATACGCCGGATGCGGCTGCGTAGTTTTGTAAGTGTAGCCGTGCCTGCCCACATGTTCCTGTGTATCTGCACGACCTTACTCTTTGCTCGTCTGTCCTCGGCCCTCACTGATTTTGAGATCGCCCAGCTCAACACCGACGCGCTGCTGAGGCTGTCCCAGCGTGACGACGACACCAACAATGACGGTGGAGCTTTCCGCGGCAAGGACAGAAGGCGGCGGCTGGCCCCTCTCGATGACCTCCAGCAGCAGACCCACCTGCTGTACTCCCACCCTCTGTAGGACGCACGACGTGGCATCGTCCGGTCAAGGAATTGCCTGTCTGTGTGTATGTTGGTCTCTCTGTCAGGCCCGGCGGCGAGTTCGTCTCGCCATACACCACGATTGGCTGGCGGGTGGGAGAAATTCGCTATATTGAGGAATGGGGTTTTATGCCGAAGTCAAAGGCGCTGCGGGAGGAGACCATCCACGGCAAGCTGACTCTGACCGGCGATGCGTCGGGCGACCACCGTGAAGGAGAGACTCACCTGCTGCGTGACAATGCGACCTTTCTGTTTGTGCCGGCCGTGCCTTTCGACCCTGGGGAGAGGGTGACTGTTATCGTGGCGGCGGGTGTCGAGACCATCAGTGGGAGGGTGCTGCCCGAGGCAACATGGAGTTTTCAGGTCTCGCACAATGCTCGCGACATCTACTTCACCAAGGTCGTCAACCTCGGAGCACCCAATGGCATGTGGGATGCTCCCACGCAGAGGAGTGGCAGCAGCAACAGCAGCGATGCTACCGCGGAAAAGACTCGACGGCCGCAGAAGGGGTCTGGCGCCTCCCGTCGAGAGCTCCAAGGCGTGAAAAAGCGCGAGTACACATTTCCCGACCACCGCTATCGCACACTACCGCAGAACTTCCCCCAAGGGACGGTGGTGGTTTACGGCAACACGTCGCAGCTGGACGAGGGGTACATCTGGACACATAAGATACTCAACGACCCGATCTCGCTCAATGGCAGCCTCATCATGCAATCCTGGGGGGATCCCGTATACTTCCACGGTATGCAGATACAGAAGGGGTGTGGGTCAGTGATGGCACAAAGGTCTGAATGGCCGGCAGTGTGTCTTGGTGTGATATGCGATGTGTCAGAGGGCAACCCGACAGACTTTGCTCCGACGGGAGCAGGCGGAAGCAAGATGCTGGGCAGAAGCAGCCTCACGGGCATTGTGCTGTGGGGCCAAGATTACAAGCCTGCGGGAGAGATATTCGCGCAGCATGGCCACGGTGAGTGAGTGAATGAGATTGTCGACGCCAATACCTCTTCCACCCCTCCCCTCTCTGCATGGTGGTGCAGGAGTGAATTTGGTGGGCAGAGAGCAGGGAGGATGTTCAGTAATGGTCATGCAAAGATCTTTGTGTGGTCTTGCCATGAGTGCAGCACGATTACATGATGCTGAAGAATGGCAACGGGCTTCTCTTGCTGTGAGTATTAGTAATACACGACCGTCCATCGATCAGCGCTCCTGTTTGTGTGTATGTGCCCTCTCTCAGTGATGACCTGCAAATCCTTGACTCGACGAGGATGCGTCCTGCGCCTGAAGGGGCGTCGACTAAGACGACGGTGGTGACTCATATTGTACAAGAAGTCACACCAGAAGGTGAGCCGTGGAAGCAAGAGCAGACAGGGACAGGTCAACACATGAGACGCTTGACTGCCCTCCTCCCCTTCTGTGCATGGCTGCAGGTCACTGCATCTTGGAGTGGCGTATGTGGGACCATCTGCCAGCTGCCTGGCAGGACACTGAGGAGGGAGTCCACGACGACAATGGGTGGGACATCGCACATGTCAACAGCGTCGGTGAAGCCCCAGACGGGAACATAGTCGTCTCTTTTCGAAATCTCAACCAAGTCATCAAAATCGACAGGTACTGTGCGCACCACACGTATACATCAACACACAGCCACACTGTTTTCGTCTGTCTGCTGCCATGCATGTAGGACGACTGGGAGGGTTTTGTGGCGACTGGGCGGCAAGCGCAGCTCCTTCAAGATCGAGGGCGACCCCAACGGTCAGTTCGCCGCCCAGCATGACGCAAGAGAGATCGACGACAACGTCATCACCCTGTTTGACAACGCATACTGCACTGGAGACGAACACGCACGGGCAATGGACTATGAGCTGAAGTTCGACAATGTTACTGGGGAGCCGACTGTGGCCAAGATGACGAGTATGTGGAAGAGCGGTGTGACGGCTCTCGCCAAGGGCAGCTACCGGCGGTTGAAGAACGGCAACAGGGCGGTGTCCCTCGGGTTCGATTTGCTGCCACATGCGTGCAAGGGAGACAGTAAAGGAGCACCGCCGACCAACATTGGAAACCACTTCTATGTGGAGGTGCGTTGTGCACATAGACCCTCGCATTACACTGCATGAATCGATCGACCTCCCTGCCGCATGTCTGTGTCCGTTGTGTCCGTGCGCAGACTGACCCAGGTGGTGCACTGCTGATAAGCATGAGTTGGGACTGCGAGTGCCACAGCTACCGGAGCATCAAGGCCCCCTGGACGGGCCGGCCGACCTGGAAGCCCGTCGCTGTGATCGACTCCAACAACTCCGACAACGTGCTCCAGCTGCACTTCAGCTGGAATGGCGCGACGGAAGTGGCCAGCTGGCGGGTCACACAGGGCGACGGACGCTTCATTTTCAAGCCCTTCGCGACTGTGGCCAAGACACAATTTGAACATTGGGTACAAATAGAGGCTGGGCGTAGGCAGTGTCTGTACTATCGGGCCGAGGCACTGGACGAAAGCGACACAGTGCTGGGCTACACGGATGTCGTGGAGTCTCCAGGCTGTATGAGTGACTGACCGGAGTTTTCTTGTTTGGACGATGGAGGGTCATTTACATACGGACTGGATTTTTGTCGTGATTTGGAATGGTCATTGACGACTGGTTTTTGCACGTTTGAACGACGGCCATTGATGGGTGTTCGGCAAATTGGTCGAGTCCATTGACGAAAGTGACTCACACATCAACACAACCGTCTGCATCACACATGACAACACAGGCACGAGGGGAAAGGGTCAATGTCACGTGTGTAGCTATCGCCGGGATGCTTCTCCAAGAGAGAAGAGAGAGAAAGTTATCCTATCACTGCTCTGATGGACAGAAAAACGTGTCGCTCCCATACACATACAACACACAATACATGAAGCCGCCACTGTACAGTGAGTGACAATCGCCCTCGCCCAACAGCTGAATGTCCTGCCCTCCCCTCCCCTCCCTCCTCCCTTCCCATGCCCTCCCCCTCATGTAGACCCCCTCTTGCCCAGGTCCCCGTGTGTCTTGGAACGCGCTGTTTTCCCCTCGCGCATCGACGCCGCCAGCCCATTGCCATTCCCATGTTCCCCCTTGGGTGTCTTAGGCCGTGGGGCGCCCGAGTCCCGTCTCAGCGACTCTCTGCGTGAGAAGGAGGTGGTGAGGCTCTTGCTTGGCTTGGCGGTGGGGAGGAGCAGGGATGAGGGGGGCGAGACGGAGAATGAGGGGCTGTAGCCGTAGCTGGTTGACCACTTGCCGTATCCCTTGGTGGCCGGTGCGTGGCTGGAGATGGCCGTGTTGTACTTTGGGTTGCAGTAGGACGATGTCGTCTGCGTGCGCGGGTCCGCATCGCCGCTGAAGCACTCGGGATGATAAAACAACCTGCACGAGCAGACAGACAGACGTCGGTGTCGGTGTCCCGTGCAATGTGTGTCTCTCATTACCTGATCTTCCTGCCGTCTCTGACAATCATGGTCTCCCCCTTCATAATGTAGCCGCGGCACTCCCGGCACATGTGTCCGTTGCGCACGGCCACACCGGTGCTGACGGTCCAGTAGTCGCCCTCCATCGGCCAACCAACACCAAACAGAGCAAAAGAGCACCGCCGGAAGCCTCAAATGTGCCACTGGTGGGCTGTTGCTTCGCGTGAGGCAGAGAGAATTGGGGCCCGCTGTGGGACGGTCAGCCGTCAATTGTGTCACCTGTTTTCGCTACGAGACCGTTCACCGAGCTGATGTGAGTGTCCCAGAGCGAAAAGAGAGACCCCGGCATTGAGAATTTTTGGCTTTGTGTGATCAGGGTTCCGCCTAAGCTCGCATTTCAGAATTTCGAGCTCGCAGCCCGAAATCAGCTCGGACGAGATGGCGAGTCCAGATCTGGTGTGGCTGTGCGTGCGGAACAGCAGTAGCTTCATCAAGAAGTCGAATGGGATCACGCTGACCAACGAGCCGGGCAACCTCACTGGGGAGAACAGCTTCAAGTACAGCGGACTGGCCAACAACAAGACAGTCGATGTGGTGCCCACGAAGGGCAAGAAGAACACACGACCCGTTCTCGTCAAGAAGGCCAAGAAACTCAGGTACGTCAGAGAGGCAGAACGGGGTGTGGAGGGATGGACGTGTGTCTGTCTGTGTGTCTGTCTGTGTGTCTGTCTGGTCATGTGTGTGCTGGTCAATCGGTGCAGATCTGTCGAGGGTCGCAAGTGCACGACGTACTTGAACATCGACTTGACTCAGTCGTCGAAGCGCATCAGCACCCAGCTGCAGAAGGGCAACTACCGCCCCGACCTCATTGCTGACGCCGAGAAGAAGTACCTCAAGGTGCGCGGCGATATCAGCAAGACGGCTGCAGGCGGCCGGCCCGTCAAGAAGGGACGCAAGCCGCGCACCTGATGGGACTGACGGGGTTTGATGTGATGTGAATGGGTTTGGGTTGAGTGTGTTGGCATCTGGACGGCTTTCCGTCTGATGGATGGATGGATGATGTGGCAATGTGCGTGTTTCATGCGTTCGTTGCTTCGTGTGGCGTATGGGGACTCTGCGTGGATGGCTCTTTCCTTAACAGTCTTTAAGCCCAATCCACGCTTTTCCCATCACATGTGACTGAGCATCAACCACCTTCAGTCGCTGGCAGTGTGTTTATATGGCCGTGACGCACTTGCGACAGCTCCGGTGCGTGTGAGTTAGCGAGCTATGATACGAGTGCCTTCACTCAGTTGTGACAAATATCCACACACATACACGACACGGCTGTCCTTATCTGGTCGTCATGTCAGCCACGTCCATCCATCGTCACATTATCCGTCACTTGACCTTATCTCTACATGGCAACAGGTCGGCCGTCTCGCCACTCGCCTGCTGCAGCTCGCCCGACAAGAAGCCAAACAAATCATTGCCTGAACACACACACAGCCACGCAAACGCACGCACATCCATCCGCTTCTCTGTCGGTCGGTCGGTCGGTTGGTCGGTGCATCCCATCCCATCCCATCCCTCCCGCACTCACCGTGCCTCGTGGATTTCCACCGCGGCTCTGATGCAAACTCAAAGTAATGCGCCCCGCTGGATGTGGGACACAGACACACGAGTGCCGCCGTGTCTGTCTGTCTGTCTGCCTGCCTCTGTGCGTGTGCCATCCTTGCCACATACCTGATTGGCGAGGAGTACCAGATCTGCCTGGTGACGAAGTGCTTGTTGATGACGAAAGTGCCGTGCTCGCCAAGGTCGATGTTCAACACGCCCTCCTACAGGCAACAGGCAACAGAGCGATGCACATGTGCGTGCGTATGGGTCCTCTGTGTGTCCATCTGCCTCTCTCCGCTGGCCGCCCCGGCCCACCTGCAAGTCGAGCTCCTCCACTGAGTCGAGCTGGGCAGCCTCTATCTTGTCATGGATGCACTGAACAAATATCGCACACACACACACACACACACTCATGCATCATGCACATTTATGCACACGTGTATGGCAACAGTTGCGCCCCATGTGCACCACCTGCAGCGCTTTGTCAGCATATTTGTGGTAGAAAAACTCCTCAGACCCGCCCTCCTCAGCCGCATCGTCAGCAGCACTGGCAAAAGCACGCGAGCCAAGCCTCTGCCGTGGGCGCCTTGAGTCCTCTGGGAGCCGCAGATGCTGCCGATGGGCCAAGCCGGTGATGCTGATGGATTCCTTGGCTGCCCCGAGAAAGGGAAGTTTCCTCATGCAGATCTCGCACCTTCGCAGCATGGGATCTCAAGATCTTCACCGCTGTGTGCCGGAGGCGGAACGAGCAGATCCTTCGTCTCAGCGCGAGCTTAGAGGCGACCCGGAAAACGGGACAGAATTCAAATGATGAGGAAGCGGGGTCTGCTTCGGTCTCACTGCAGATAGCGCTGCACTGATCGTGCTGTCAAACACATATATTTACGCCACGGCCGGCCCGCCGCTCACGGCGAAAATGGCTTATCGCAGCAGCAGCCCCTTCTCGGAGTCGCGCATCTCCACCACCGATGAAGACCTCTTCCACAACGCGGAGAGATCTCGGCCAGGCGCAGAGGGGCATGGAGCATTCAGCCGCGTGTGGACCGCCGTCGGCATGGGCAAGGGGAGGGGGCGGGAGAGGGAGAGGGGGAGGGCTGCCGTCGGTGAGAGGCCTCCCTTTGCGGATGTGCACGTGTTGCTGGACAGCAGCAGGCACATGATTGACCGGATGCGGCCGTGCCAGTCGGCCAGCAGCACGCGGGATGGCTATGAGATGGAGGAGGGGGAAGGCAGGGGCACAGATCACGATGGGGGATGCATCCACCAGGTGGCAGCCAAATGACGCCTTGGCTTATTGCAATGAATGCATTCTCATTGTGTGTGTGGTTGCAGATGGAGGTTGAGAGGCAGGTGCAGAAGGTTCCGAACTACAGTAGCTACAGCCGGGATTGCGCCCTGTTCGACGTCTTTGCCGACGTGTACGACACAATCACACCCACAGCCACGCCCACACCAGCAACCCAGGGATACCATACCGAAGAACCAAAGGGAGACGGGGAGGAAGATGGGCAGGGGGAGGGTCGTGTGGTGGGGGTGAGTGTGTGCAGGTGTGTGCGTGAGGTGGGCTGCCTGCTGCGTGATGCGTCTAGCGTCATTGTGCAGGGGTTCATGGAGCTGATCAGGGTCGTCAGGGCGGCGGGCCGCAGTGACGACGATCTGTAAGAGAGAGAGGGATGAGTGTGTCTAGGTGGGTAGGCAATGGATGGATGGATGGATGGATGGACACAATGGACCTCTGAGTAGACGGGGCAAAGAACATGCAGCATGTGTCTGTGGTCGCACCAAGAAAGCTACTGCCATGCGTCGGTCCATCGCGTCAAAACGGTCCTGCACTTCATTTGCAAAATGGTCGTGTACCGCGTGTGTGACTGTGTCCTTCGAGCATCCAAATGGCCTGTGCTGAGATGGGGGTCTGACGTCAGAGATTCTGTCTGACGCAAGACATCATGCGCAACACCAACACAATGTTTGCAAGAATGGACACAGAACACAACACAGGAATGGCGCAGACCCC